ATTTCTGTTCGTAATGTAGATGCAGTCAGCGCCGAGTGTTTTGCGCGACACACTCGGATGACTGCGCTATATCTCCGCAAAGGTGTCTGCACTGCAATGCCGCCTGCAGTGGGTGGCAGGCTCTGCGACTATCCGGAGCCCAACTAAGCACGACGTAGAGCCATTGCAGAAACAGTGGTACCGCCCCAAACTTCAAAATGAAAGCAAAACAAATTAATGAATATATTCTTGTGAGTATGTTGAAGAGTCCGGTTTTAAGACTGATGTATTGAAGTAGTACAATTTCGACAATATGACAATATTTTAGAATCCCATCAAAAAGAAAAAAGTTTACCTGGCTAGAAAATTAAATTAATAAATTTCCTTTAATATCATCTCCCAGTGACTTCTGACGGTACTCGATTATTTTCCCCACTCTTAATTTTTAAGCATAGAATAAGTTACCAATCATCTGTAGACGCGAAAGGCTTAACGATGTAAATTCGGACAAATATAAATGAATTGATGTATAAGCCGTGGTTTAAAGTGACTGATGATTTGACCTTGCTTAGCCCGGTTTGAACCTCAAAAAATTAATCCAAATCATTTTACAAGTAACATTGATAATTAAATCACAGGTCAGATAAGAGATGTTAAAGGTAAATTAAAAGGTGGATGTATCAATATTAACCTCAATCAACATTCTCCACATTTTGTTTAATGATAAATGCAACATTTTTTGAAATGTACAATATTTCTAGCCATTAACTGATAAGTACTATTTTACGATAATAAATGAGTTAATATCAAATAGTATTGTTAATATATTTTCCCTTTTTTCTTGCAATGTCTTTGTAATTACTAGAGGGGGCCCGCGCTTACGTTTTTTAACCCTGTCGACCATAGTTTCTTCTCTTCCTTCGCGGGTGCTGAGAGTTTCTGTTCCAACTGTTTTGGGAACCGAAGCACCTGTTTACTCATGATTTCCGTCACCCTTCACGGGGAGGTGATGCTTCTAGATGAAGGCAATAAATCCAAAAATAAACCTCAGACATTTCACAGTGAGAATAAGTGTTTGCCGACAAAATATGCTCGGAAATATTGCTTTCAATGTATCAAGAAGTCACTTGTGCATGTATTCTCTTCCTGCTACTTCTTTTATCCAGAAATGTTTTCTTGTAAGAATTCCTATAATGTGTCTTCAAAAAATATATTTATTCTTCTTACACTTATAGATCACATTTATTAAAGACATCTTTTTTATAAAGACATTATATTATGTTCTGATATCTCGTCTTCAGTTAATTACTTTTTTCTTTCTAAGTGATATATTTTGTTCTAACTTTTCTTTAAATGAGTTCATTGTAATTTATTTTTCATTTTTTTTACAATTTGTCAACACATTGAAATGGAGTAAATGCGATAGTATAAGTTGGTGATGAAGTTAATCCGTTTGTTATTCAACAATTTTCTCTCGCAAATACATTTAAACATATTTGAAATTTGAGCTTTACAATATTTGCACTTACTTCACTTATGCACAATCTTATTAAAAGCTTCTACAAACTTTCTGGCTTTCGGATTCAGCTTTCTCCTAGTAGCATGATGCTTTTAAAATAATTTTCCAAATCAAAGGAGAAAAGTGAAATATTTTCCGGAATACCTCTTTCGGGAATCTTAGTGTAATTGAAATCAACTGAAAAAGTAACAAACATTAGAGGTCAAATAAAGATTAAATGAAACATAGGTAGACGGTAGATATTACACAACGTACATTAAATAGAATTCTTCAAAAACGATTATCTTCCCCTTAATTAAATTTTAACATCATTTGTAGTATCTTCTTTCATATTTTAAATACCGCAGACAATAAACGATTTCAAAATGTATGGCAAAAACATTTCTGTCATCTTACCAGACGATCATGTGAGATTTAGAAAAAACATGTAACACTTGTATCTTTATAAAATACTTACATGGATTTTTGACGTGTAGTGAATATGTGGAATCTTAGGTACGCATTTATTTATTAAGATCGAGCCAATTTGAATCGGTTGGTGTTGCTCTTTGGCAGAAACGTTGTCAAACATGTATATTAGCTTTTAATAGAAAAAAACATTAAATTCCTCGCTAGTATCTTCTCAAGAACGTTCCGTAAAATCCAACGAGTGATCAAACAATTTCTTAAAGAACCGAAATTAATTACTGGATGGTTCTCTACCCAATCGCTTATCCAGCTATCTTAGAAACAGCCTGCTCATCGCATTCCAGAGCGCCTCCAGCCTCCATCTCCTCGCCGCTCTCCTCGCCCCGTCCGCGGCACGCCATTCGGCTCTCAACTCGAGATGG